TATGTGTGTATATATATATATATATATGTGTGTATGTATATATAGAAAGCAGGCTGCATTTATTTTATCAAAAAGTATATAGTATTTATTTTATCAAAAAGTATATAGTAAAAATAGATTTTTTATAACAATATCAAAGTCTGTACTGTCACTTCTGATCAATTTAATCTGGATAAATTGTTAAAAAAAAGAAAGATGGAAAGTTACTGCCCCAAATTTGTGTACATGTTTATATATTTGATTTTGTAAATGCAAGTTTTGACTGGTCAAGGTATGTTTGACTTCCGAAGGGTGAGTTAGGGACTTACCTGTCCTGGAATAACACATGAATGACCCCTCTCAATCATTCTAATTGCCATGTGGTTAATTGTTAAGTCCAGAGGGACATGTTTATGTCAGTAAATGAAATGCTGGTTTTGTTCTTCTTAGATGCATATTTTCTGCACTGTATTCTTATTCCTACTGTGCATAGATACTGTGGGGAAAATGAAAAGGAAACCTCATATCATATTATGTTTGTCAGCCTGAATAAAATAGTGATTTCTAGAAATGCAATTACACTCAAATGAAAACACTCAGGAAACAGCTTCAGAAGGTTTAATCCAATATGGAGCGGCGCCCCTCATCTGAGGGATAACAGAGAGTTCCTTTCATCTTCCACGGCCTACTTTGATTCTGGTGCTTGTTTTCAAGAGATAGAGGTATTTATTTATATCAGAAACAGGAAATGTGGCAAATAAAAGTGGAAGGAGATTAAGAGTGGCCATATGACTGAGTTCCCAGACTCCACATTTGAGCGTCCATGCGGAGGAGCCAGACAGTGATCCTCAGTGGCCCTCATTAGCCATATGAGTGTAGTGTGTTAGGGATTAATGTCACGTAGTCTTTAATACTCAGTCAGACAGATTCTGACTGTAGGCTAAGAGTTTCAGTGCTTTGGTAGAGAAGTAAGTCCTTGAACCGTGCCGCTAACCACCTCTGTCAAATTACATGGGTGTCAGAGGAACGACAATTTCTGGAAGTTGAAAAGTGCAATTCTATGTATTTGTGAGCTGAGCAGAAAGGAAAGGAAAGGATCAGATTGTGTGATGTTTGTATTGTCAGCAATTCTCCAACATGTCTAAAGAGCACTGAAGTGGTAACAGATTTGTGGGGGTAAAAATAGATTTGGTTTTGGTCAGAGATATCCGTTCTACCATAGTAAAAAAAACTTGATTTCAAGGGTATTTAATAATTGTGCTCTCTGACCTGATGTCAAAATAGTTAGTTTTTTCCTGCTGTGAAAGACTGCTTTTTTGTTCAGTGCAAATGTGGCAATTTCCCTAAAAGTTTAATGAGCTTCCCAGAATTTAAACAAAAGATCTTTGCAACTTTTAAACAAATTACCATTAATGCGACATGTGTTTATGCGATATATATTAGACCTTTTGAAACAGCCTTTTTTTGCATACATCCGAGGTAAACAGTAAATGTCAGAGAACTAGCAAACACAGCTGCTGCAGCAGTAAATTACTCATAAACTCTCTCAATTTCCTGCACGCTGCAATTGACTGAAATGCTTCTCAAAACATTTGGGGAGCATTTAATCATAGCTCAGAGTTACTTTCCCACACCGAATTAATAAGCTGGTTCTCAAGCATTGTTTCAAAGGTCGTGACCGTAGTTTTATAATATTATGTATGTCAACGTTAATCCACATGATTTATGTATACTTAAAAAATCATTAAAGCATATTTTGGTATGGATATTTGACCAATGCAGCCTAAATTGTCATGGAATGCAAGAAAGCAAGCATAATATAATTATGCATTAGCCAAAAATATATGTTTTGTCTTACATACACTACTGTTTAAAGGTTTGGGGTCGGTGAGATTTTTATGCTCCCCAAGGCTGCATGTATTTGACCAAAAAAAAAAAAAACGTAATATTGTGAAATATATTTACAATTTAAATAACTGTTTCCTTTTTTAAATATATTTCAAAATGTAATTTATTCCTGTGATGTAAAGCTGAATTTTCAGCAGCCATTTCTTCAGTCTTCAGTGTCACATGACCCTTCAGAAATCATTCTAAGATGCTGATTTGGTGCATGAGAAACATTTCTTATTATTATCAATGTGGACCACAGTTCTGCTTAATATTTTTGTGAAAACTGTGATATGTTTTTCAGGATTCTTTGAGAAATGTCAAGTAGAAAGAACCAGCATTGATCTGAAATAGAAACCGTTGGTAACATCATTTATTTACAGTCACCTTTTTGGTCAGTTTAATGCATCTTTGCTGAATAAAAGTTTAATAAAATTTGAATAAAAAAATAAAATAAAAAAAACTTACTGACACCAAACTTTTGAACAGTGGTGTATTTCTTTTGGCACCCATGTTAGCATGTTACAGTTTTCACACTGCCCACACAAGCTGCGTGGTGCTGAGCCTGTTTTTGCCATGCATAACATGCTGAAATCGGCAAGAAAAATGAAATAAAATAAAAACGTGAAAATGCTCTGAAAGCTATTTCCCATTATGATCTTTTGGAATATAGGCTTTTAGGAAGTAGCATAGAATATTGGAATGATTTTATTTGATTTTGGAGTAGCTTGATGCAGGTTCCATATGCAGTGACAGGCACACAAACTGTATTAATTCTGAATGAATGCAGATTATTTCCACAGTTTATAGCTCCAGTTTGGTTTTATAATTAATATTTATATATAAATTTATTTTATGGCAGTTTTTTTTAGCAAAATAGTCAATGTAGAATTTCAGAAATAATTGTATTTTCTGTATAAAGCCACACCAACAAACATTCTGAAAGCACAACACAAATCTGTTGCAGCATTTACGCTATTGCTTCTTCCCTACATTTAGATCAGGCTTTTATGATATTTGCAATGCTGGTATACACCGACAAGCTCCTGGCAGTATTAAAACCTGAAGTGTCATGTTTTTCATCTTCCAGCTGCTTCTTTGAGCACAGACTGAGATGAATGATTTCAGACCGGCGCATATCAGTGAGCAGAATATCTGCTTTAGCAGAAGCCCAAGTCTGTTGAACTGTTCCGCTTTGCAGACATCCACTGAAGTGGGGAAATTAAGTGAAGGGCTGTGCAGGTTAAGTCAGGCTCATTGGCTGGACAGTGGTTGACCTTTGACCTCACCCGCCTCGGGTCACAGATAAGGTGCTGTCACCGAGGTATGTATTCTTCAGAAGGTGAAAAGGAGACTTTTCAACCCAGCGAGCCAATCATCTTGAAATCAGCACTGGCACCTGTGGCTGCAGGGCATGCATACCTGTGAGCATGTTGTCACTGCGGCCGACAGCGTTGCGCGGTGAAATATTTTTTCAGATTTCCTCGGCGATCAACAACATCAGCCCTCTCGCTCCCATTTTTTTGTTACCGACTTCGCATTGCCGCTGTTGAATTATTCAAAGGCGCGAAGGGAGCGCCGCTCTGACAGGAACAGGAGATTAATATTTGTCATGCTCTCTGATACGGTGCAACTGACCAGAACAGCAAATGGAATCTGATCAAGGAGCGCAGAGCAGTGTATGAGAGCTTTCCCGCTGTGGAAACGTGCTAGCCTGCACTCCATCCTCCCAACATACTCTTCCTTGCAGCTGCCTCCAGCCAAAACAGATAGAGGTGAGGTACAGCACAAATCACCTGAGTTTTTCCACCAGTATCCAATTATATCCTCTGCAGAGAGAGAGAGCGCTGTCTGTTCATGAGAAACCGGAGTGAACCCGAACGTGTTGCAGGAGTTTTATTGTGTGCGCCTGGTTGCTTTCTCAGGACGTAAATCACCATCGCAGAGGCTAATATCTGTGTTGACATTGTTAATTGATTGATCCCTTTGGGAGTTGCACCTAAAGCAAAGGGGTGATGGGCCGGCTGTCATCTAACCCTATCCAGAAATCTACTGGCTGACAGGCAGGAGAAAGCTGGCCTCTGGCCTCTTAGTTCCCATTATTCCTGTGACCTCCTAATCATTATCACCATCTACTGCATTGCACTGACACAGTCAAGCATGACAAAGCAGCTGGGGGTAGAGGATCGTGAGCTTTAAACACATAAGAGCCGTAAGTGCGGTCATTTGTGTGATGTAAGGACTCAATCAGAAATTACTGCCCAGGTGCAAGCAAGTCAGCTGGAGACCTGCTTTGATTCGGCTTGAATAAACGTGTGATTGTTTGGAACAATTGTTTGCGACCTTTTACAATGATTTGAAATAATAATAAGTTTTAAATTTAAAAGTGTACTCAATCATAGCTAGGATCTGTTGCTCAATACTTAGGCCACTTTTAGGTCATTTTCCATTGCTTTGGCACAAAATATATTAAATGAATATGTTTTTCAAATTGCATGAATTATTTTCTCTCTCAGACACAACCACCACCAAATGTACCCACAGGTCAATATGCACATTTATGTACTTTTTTTCTCTCTCGAAACTGTTAAAATTAGATTCAAAACTATACATAATGCAAAACTGAATAAGACAGAAATTTGCTATATTTCTAGAGTTATAATGTATTGAAATATACTTCATCTAAAAAAAAAAAATACTATGAAAACAATTAGATTTAGCTGAACCTACACAGGTGCTAGTCTTTTGGTTTCATTACAGTCTATATACAAAAATGGACATCTTAGGAATTATTTTGTGCTGTAATGTAAACATGGACCATTGAATACTAAACAGCAGAAAGCTGTCATTTTTGTTCTGTAAAGAAATGTAAAAAAAAAAAAAAAAAAACCTTGCATAATGCTATCAGTTGTTAGTGTTTATGGTCATTGTTTTATGAGTGACAAAGTGTGTTTGTTTAGTGACAAGCTTTGCTAGTGTAATGTAAGAATGACTTGATTTGAAATTTGTATGAAGTGTTTTGGTAGTTTTTGTGCATTTGATGTGAAATTGACTTCCGGGCTGTTGATACTGAAAGTTGGTAAGGAGAACTTTGTGAAGAAAATGTGAACTATTATAGTGTTCTAGCCATATATAAAAAATTGAGTTGTATAAAAAAATGTTGTATTCGTCTGGTCACATGATCTCGACATGGCCGCCCCCATGAGGCAACCCACTCTGTGTAAAACAAAACAGCTTTTATTAGGTTACTAATATGAATGGTGTCTTCCTCGCATCTGAATGTACAGGATTTGTAAACATATTAATCAAAAATACATTTCATTTATTTGTAAAACTATTTTGAAAATTTACTGAGCACTTTTAAATTTGCAGTTGATTTTTGTTTTTATTGATTATTTTCTGACTTGTTCTTTAGAATTTATTGATGCAATGTATATTTCAGTTAATCTGCATTATGGATAATTATCTACAGCAATATCAGAAACCCTTAAGGCCAATGGGCAATGGGATGTCCTCCTCACAGAATTAAGCATTTTCAACATTTGATAATAATAAGGAATGTTTCTTGAGCAGCAAATCAGCATGTTAGAAGGATCATGTGACACTGGAGACTGGAGTTATGGTTGCTGAAAAGCTAGCTTTGCCATCACAGAAATAAATTACATTTTAAAATATATTTAAACAGAAAACAGGTATTTAAAATTGTAATAATAGTTCACAATATTACTGTTTTTACTACATTTTAATCAAATAAATGGAGCCTTGGTGCGCATAAAATACTTCTTTCAATGACATTTAAAAAGAAAAAAACGTTTGAATAGTATAGAGTGTGTGTGTAACTGTGTACGTGTTCTTCTGGTGCTTATTTGATATGCATTCTAAATTAGCAAAATAAATCAAAGCTACATAAAATTCCAGACGAAATACTGAACAACCAAAACAAAGTATACGAATCAAATTAAATTTCAAAAGAGGATTATATCTCGAACAAGGATTATTTCTTCGAATCACTTGATGATTTTAAAACATAAAAAAATCGTAACTGGAGCTTGTTCAGTGACTTTTTTCATCTAATCTTTTCACTTGGTAAAAAGCTCCTTGCTGCCATCTGCTGGTGAAAGGCGTAGTGTTGTGCATTTCATAGTACATTTTAAACCCCTGACTATTAAACAGGATTCAATATAGCGTTATTAATGATTTTTTTGATAATGCATATGCACTGTGATGCCACATCTTGATACCACATCATGTGATGCAGAGGGGGCAATCTGGGGGCAATCACTTACTGATTTGTTTGCGATGTATACATAAATATTATGCTCCTAATAAATGGAATTTGAATATCAAAGCCACTCGAAAACTCTAAAATTATGCATGCAATACAGCACATCTTACCATAAAGGAACAGCACTCCGTGTAGAGAAGGAGGGAAAGGGGAGGAGGGGGTATAGTGTGGGCAAGGAATTTTACTTTAACTGGATCCACACACAGCACAGCCAGACAGGTTGATAGATGAGCAGGTAGCCAGGCTTGGTGTAGAGCACAGAGGGCATCTCTTCAGAGATGTGGAGGTAGGTAAGACCTAGTTGAAGTGTGTGCCATGAGCCTGAAAGCATACATGATTTGTTGTCTTAGGAAACAAAATGCATTTTTGATAAGCAAAGCTAAAGGAACGCGGCACCTGTCACAACCTCAACAAACACTTTCATTCACTCCAGAAGAGGAATAGCTTGCATTCTTTCAGCCTCTATTTGAAATAGTCATTTGTAGAGAAGAACTAAAAGTAAACTTTGAACTAAAATCATGCATTGTGAAAGTCTTTGATGTAATCAGGAATTGTTGGTCTTATTTTCCAGTAAAAATTGTTGAAACAAAATGACTTTATTTTACAAAATTGCATTAAATATTAAGTTTTTGTATATTAAAATATTATGATCTTGTATAAAAAAGATATTTTGAATTAATATTTCTCACCTCATTGGTATATAGTTTTATAATGTTTTAAGCATAAAATTCAATTAAAAAAATATATGGATGAAGAAACAAATCCAAGATATTTTTATCTTATTTTAAACAAATTGACTTTTCCAGTAAATGTTGTTTAGATATTTTTTTATTGGAAAACACATAAAATAAATTGCTAGATTTTACAATAAGGATCCATTAGTTAAAGTTAATGAATTAACTAACATTTAACAATGAGCAATACATTTGTTACAGTATTTGTTAATCTTTGTTAATGATAGTAAATAAAAATACAAATGTTCATTATCAGTTCAGGTTAGCTCAGGTCCATTAGATAATATTAACAGATACAACAATTTTTTTAACTGTATTAATAAATGGACAAATTAACACTAAAATACATGCTCTACAAGTATTTTCCATTGTTAGTTCATGTCAACTAACGTAGTTAACAAATGGAAACTTATTGTAAAGTGTTACCAAATAATCTTTTTTTCAGTGTGCCAGTGATATTTGCATCAACATGAACACAAAAGGTGTAAATACGAAACATAATGGCCTGAACATGAGACAGTGGTACCACATTCACACTGTGATATGTAATATTGACGTCCTTCTCTTGTATGATTACCTGCAGACTGATGTGACAGCGACAATGACAGCGCAGCAGAAGCTGAGAGGCAATCACCATGCCAAAGGTAACATCCATTCACCCGCTCTAATTAAATGCCATTGTCATGTCAGCAGGGATCCAATCTGCAGCATACACACGACATGTCCACCTCTCACTGTGAAATAAAACAAACTTCACCTGCATCATCTGCATTATGCTTAAAATAGGCTGTCTGTGTTATAATTGATGATCGGCCATCAGAGTCCATTTTTTTCTTAAATAATTATATTTTTCATGAAGACAGAGACAAAATGCTTGACATTTGTGGCTCCGCTGCATGGCTACACTAAATAACAGTCTTATTTTTCTTCTCAGTTCCAGGTTTTACAGTTGTCAGTGTTTAAACAACATTACAAAACCGTTTTCGTGCAACACCGTAGACAATTCGACTGCTGCATATTGACAAAACACAGTTCTTTTAAGCTAAGTATTACATAAAATACAGATCACAGAAGATGCTGCTAAAATAGGAGTTTTCTAGACCCCCTCCCCTGTAGGTTTCTAGGCGATTGGAGAACTTTAACAAAAGGAGGAAGTTAACTAAGTGGGAGCAGTCAGCGTAAAGCGGTTCTTTCTCATGAATTTCTGAACACTTTTGACGAGTGTGGCCGTTATGCTCCTGAAGGAGTATTGCATATGCATGCCTCTAATGGCGGTGGAGGTAAGGTCTCGACCTTTATTTGAAGAGAAAGCGAAAACTGTCGTGCTGCAATTAAGTCCTCAACAGGCTGTTGCTTCCCCTCCTAAATGTCAATTAACCAAAGTTCAGAGGAAATCAAAGAATGCAGTGAATTTCAAGAAGGTGAGGGACATACTTTTTTTTTTTTTATTGAATAGAGCTATCCTATCTATGCGGTCTCGGTAGGTTGTTTTTTCTTAGCTTCTAAGGTTCTTTAATATGAGGTCATAGATCATATTTGAGCTGTGGAAGATTTCTCAACAGTCATAACCTTCCCAAGGTCTGCAGACCTCAGGAATGCTATATTTTTAAAGGTCATCTTCTGAAGCAGCAACAAAATATATGCATTACTGTAAAATGAGGAGCTGTGTTTTAGTGTCCTTGGAATAGGGCATGTCAGCTATATACAATCTATAAACACAGCCATCAGGAAAAGGACACTGAGAAGATTGCGGAGGTCCTGCAGAATGAGACCCTATAAATATGAATATACTTTCATATTTTGGCTCCCAGTATCTTTTCTACTCTCATCTCTTATATATATAGATGATTTATAAATACATTTTTTTTTATTAATGCTTTTATTCATGAAGGATGCAAAAAAAAACTGGTCAAAAGTACCAGCAAAGACATTTATGTTACAAAATGAATGTGTTCTTTTGAACTTTCTATTCATAAAAGAATCCTGAAAAAAAAAAAACATATTAAGCAGCACAAATGATTTCAGCATGACATAATCATATAAAGTAAATATAACACGATAATAAGAACAAATGGTCATCAAATCAACATAGAATGATTTCTAAAAGATTATGTGACACTGAAGACTGGAGTAAAATGCTGAGCTTTGTCATCACTCATTTTAATATATAAATACATTACATTACATGTCCATAAATACATATAAATACATGTATTGGAAAAAAAAATCACCAATCTCATTAAATGATAATGTGTGTGTGTGTATGTGTGTGTGTGTGTGTGTGTGTGTGTGTGTATATATATATATATAGTATATATATATATATATATATATATACACTGTATATATATATATATATATATACTGTATATACTAGTGTACCCCAGTTGTCATGGTAAAATCTTTCTCTGCAACAAGATAAGGGCACAATTACACGTCTCCATGAGTTTGGTTAACATGTGAGCGGTCGCAAGTTCAATCCACAATGGGGTCAAGCCCTGTTATGCTAGAAAATATGATGCGTTCCGATAACAGGTCCCCAGTTTACTCGTTCGTTGGAGTAAAATATGCAATGGGAGAAAGACTATCTGTTTTCACCTGCCACCAGACTCTTAAATCCATTTACGCCTATAACTGCCGTAATTAGACCTCTTATCAGGATTATAGCCATTAGCCTTTGACAAGGAGGGCTTTAACGGCAATTAACTTGGAAATAATTGACCATACTATAATTGGCTTCATTCTCACAAAGAAGAGGGGAAGTCCCCAGACAATGTTTTGCCATCAATGCTTTTAAGATTGTGAGCGAAAATGTCGATTTGCATGCGTCTGCTTCGCACCGCCGTCGACTTAAACCATTTCCTTGGGCTGATTCTGCACCACCTACTCAACTGTTTCATTAAGTAGAAACATTTTGAGTCGAGCTGCCTTTGTTGCCAGGCAACCTCCTCGGACATTTTGTTTTAGTTATGTTCATGAGCTATTAAAGCATACGAACCAAATCTCAAAGCATGCTATTTTTAACCTGCTTTTCCACTTGAGCGTATGCAGCGTGTAATGAAGTGTATGGTTAATAACCAGCTACGGCCAAGCTCTCTATCGTATGTCGTGAAGGACTTGAGAGTGAGGGCTGTGATTAGGCCAGGGGTTATGCAAACCGCACAATCCCTGGATTAAAATGCACATTTGCTTCAGAAAAACGTGCCGTGGAGATAGTGTCAAAGGCGGAGAACAAAAAAGCGAGCGCCACATGTATCCCATGTTTACTTTAAATATAGATTCAGTGCTGCCGTCTGCATTTTTAAGGTCAGTGGGAAATAAGCATTCAATAGCATTCCTCTGTTGCTGTTTCATTACAGCTGGAAGAAGCACTGTTTGAGCGAGGCAGTGCTGCAATACCTGGACTGACTTTCTGAAGCGGTGAAATAAACAAAAGCCGATACGGACTGAATATTGGAAAGCCTTTACACTGCAGTCGCTAACCCTGTGTGCGCTAGACGTCTTTGTTAATCGCAATTCCCCAGATAAGCGATGTGTGAAGAGGCATGAGGTATTAAGAGGGAGCGAAATTGAATAACAGCCTCTGCATTTCTAAACAAATTTGAGACGCAGGTCTATGTTGAAAGTGCCCTCAAGCATCTGCCATCCAGCACTAATTGGCAACACGTTCAAGGGACCCCGGAGAGGGATTTACCTTGCTGTTATTTGGAGAGAAGTTGGATCGATCACTAGTTCTTCTTCTGTATAAAGGATCTCCCATGTTGCTGTCATTCCTTATCATGAAGCAGATTGGGCAGGAGGGGATGAGCTGGGCAACGGTAGGAATGTAATTGGGTTTCTTCTGTGGCACTGCAGAAGTTTTGCGGCTGACAGGGAATCTTTTGTCTATGGCCTGCAGCTATGGTGTCTGAAGGTGGACATTGCTCGCCATCCAGGCCTGAGCGCTTTGTTACTCAGACTCCTCTGGAACTTTCTCACACACTTTGCTCTGTAAATGTACCGACCCTTTCATGGGATTTGAATGCTGTATTCAGAGTCCCAAGGACATGCTGAGATGTCACTGTCTGGGCACTGTTCTGACATTATTGCTATGGAGTAATGAATACATATTGCAGTGAAATTCCAGCTGATGCTCATGCTTCGTATGTGCTACATCCTAGAAATGTCTTTGTAAGTCACTGTAACATTAACATTGAGTGTCACCATTTGTTTTTTTATTCAGAACAAACATGCATACTGTATATGTGCATCGCACTTTGGCCACCACTGGTTTCTTTCTGTATCATGAATGCAGAATATGAGCATACGGCAGCATTTTCTTTTCATTAGTGCATCAAAAGCTTTACAAAGGGGTCATAAACTAATTTTTTTTAAAGAAATATACATATTTTAAAGACATCTCAAGCTCATCAAGGATGCATTTATTTGGTAAAAAATTACAGTAAAAACGGTAATATTGTGAAATATTATTACAATTTTAAAATAACAGTTTTCTATTTTAATATACTTTAAAATATAATTTTTCCTGTAGTGGCAAAGCTGAATTTTCATCAGCTATTATATATATAATTCATAATAGTATATATATATACACACGCATGTATATATATATACACACACACATTTATATGTACATTTATTAATGTATATGTAAATTCAAAAATAACAAATAATGCTTGTTGTTGTTATTTAATTTTTTTTTATTTTATTAGTAAAAGGAAAAAAAACATTAAACTGTATTATCCATAACTAATGTATATGTTTTTTTTTTTGTAAACTTTAATGCTTAAAATAAATATATTTCAATAGGGATGTATTTGTAGATCTACAGTATATAAAAACACAGAGTAAGGATGTATGTGGTTAGTCTTTTAAAAGCCTCACATACCGAATTAAAAATATATAAGAAAGAAAAAGATAAATTGTGGATGATTATCATGGTTTAGCTGATTCCAATAGCTGCAGCATGCATCTTGAGCAAAAAATTGTTAATATGTTTTCTATTATTTTGAGTTGTATGCAATGTCTAATTGCTATTTCTTTAGCCATAGTCAGACCTCAGTGGACAAAAGTTTTCAATGCACATTTAAACCACAGTTGAGAATTGTGTGTAAGTGATCAGTCCTTTGTTTGACACATAGATGTCATCCACGTTTTTTTTTTTTTCTTCAAAATTTCAAAAAGTCAAATCACATGTGATATGATAACATGTCAGCAGTGCCCCACAGATCTCTGTTGAAGAAAAAGTTAAATCTGACATGACTGTGGACTTCAGACGCATTCTGTAGGTTGGGATCGCACAGAGGCACTGTAATATTTCAGAGCTGCTGCCCAGAAATCCAGACTTGTTAGCAGTAGCCTTGCTTGGTTGATTCATATAAAAAGCCTGAGGCCTTATATCAGAGAGATGCAGTTTTGTTCAAGATATCTTCAAGAAAGAGCAATTTTCCCCCAGCTCCCTCCTTCCACCTCAGACTTTCTGAAGTGTATCACGATACACTGATCCCACTAGACATGAGAGACGGTACTTAATTTATTGCGAATTCAATATTCACTGAGTAATTTACTGATATGTTTCATTTTTTCAAATGTCAAGACAAGATAAGCTTTTCTAGGGTGAAAACAAATTTGGATGTGGATTGACTCTCAGTGTCTCAGACAATAGGTTCCTATGCCAATAGACAGGACAATAGACAATTAATATCACTGGCTCAGTTTGACACCTTCTGTGTTAAATCTGGTAGGAAAAGGCTGTTTATTTCTGATAGACATGACTTCAGTTAGGGTATCATCTGTGCTTTCAAATCTCTTCTGTATTATTGCTGTATTAAGCATAAAACAAATGCGGCAGTTATTGCAGTTGTAAAAAAAATAATTTAATTATAAGGTTTTACTCATACACGGGATATAAAGGACTGAATGAAGACGATCATGTGCTTAAATACCCATGTGGGAAAAAAGTGCAATTAAGCATACAAAGTACTTATTATCAACATAATATGCTTTCAGAGTTCCTACCTAATATAGACTTCAGTGTGTATTTAATGTATTATTTTGGAGCAGTGTATTGCAACCTCATTTTATTTAAATATATAATTAGGTTAAATTCAGCATCAGGTTTAACTTCTGAGACCATTTCTCAGCCTACATTTAGAGACACTTAAGTTACATATGTAATTTTATAACAGCTTCTAATGCACTTGAAATATATCCCAAGTATAATGTTGGATATACTGACAAACACATCTGATATACTTTGATACAGTTTAATCCCAGTCGTACTGTAACTAAAATGCACTTTACTGTAACTAAATACTGTATGCTGAAACTTGATCTGCTATACACTTTATTATAATCTTGAATGTATTTACAGATGCTTAAGCAATTTACTCATGCATTAGTTCAAAGTACTTTTTAAGTACATTTAACAGTGTATGTTTTATGATATTAGATTAGTTAATCCTCCTTTAAAGTATACTTCCTGAAGCATTGTTCGAAATTGTCAATTAAATTGTACTTTCACTTTAAATAGAACTCCTAATTTGACATTAACTTAAAGTGTGCTTAAGTACTATATGTTAAGACACTTTCATGAAAGTTTATTTTCTTACAGTGCAGTTCACCAATTTTTAATAAGCTTTGTATTGTTACAGTGCCAATAGTATAAGTATCAACAATGTGTTGCAGGTTACTTGCACCAATATATCCCTGTTTATTTGTAAGCAAAAGACTGCCAGATGACATAATGCTTTTGTGAAAACAATATCATAGTTCCACATTTTTGTATCCCTGCTCACAGATAGTCTGATTGAGCCCAGTGCATTATGGGTTTTGATGTTTTCATACCTTTTTTTTTTTGTTTTTGTTTTTTTGCTACAGCCCTTTTCTCTGTTTTGTCTAGCTGTGTAGCACCAAGATGTTCTTCTATACCCCATCTTGCCAGTGCTGAATTACCCCTTTAAGATTCATTTAAATTATATTACTTTTAGGATTTCAAGTACACTTTCAGTATACTGAAAAAAAAAAAAAAAAAAATTTTTTTCTTAATATTTTAATCTTTTTTTCCCAATACAAATATCTAAACTTTCTTCAATCAAGATATATTCACTTAAAAAGCTAAATGACATGAGATGTTATGTCTTGTTTTCTGAAAAAAGAAAAAAAAATAGCAAAATAAAATGAGTTTAAGCTTAAATCAAGAAAAAATATCTGACAGTGGGCTCAGAAAAATAAACTTGTTTTCCCTTTGAGTTAAGTTTATTTTTCTTACCACATTGGCAGACATTTTTTCCTGTTTTAAGCTTAATCTTTGATCATTTTTAAGAAAGCAAGACTCATAAAGAAAATAAAACTCATAAACAGGTCTAAAGAGAGCATTGAGTGGCCATAAAATGAACACATGTGGTGGCATCGTTTGATCTGATCTTATGTCATTTTGCTTGTAAGAATGTTTAAACAGTTGTTCTGGAAAACAAGACAAAATACTAAATAAGAAATCAGTGTACACTTAAGTATACTTCTTTTTACAAGGGTAATCTTCATTTGGACTCATAATGTGTGTTTTGAATGTGTCAGTTTTAGCTCTTAGACAGTCATGATGATAAAGACAAGCTAAAGGACTGATGGTTGAACACAGTTGTGTTGTTGAAGCTGTGTGGTGGCGAGGGTGGGTTGATTGTGTGGTTCCCCTCTGCCATTGAGCTGCTCCGGGGGACAGACTGTGGAATTGTCCTTCTATAAATCACTTTGGATAAAAGTGTCAGCTAAATGACAGATTTCACAAATGCATACTTATCATCTCAGAACAACCTTACCTACCAAGATCCCATATTTAACACTCCATTTAAAATGTTACTGCATATTACAGCTGCGATTTGGAGGTGTGATGAGTTTAATGACACACCGTCTCAATATTGGCAGGCACATAAAAAGACAGCTTTCTAATCTCTGGATACTCGCAGGTTCGGTTAGCACACTAAATGTCTCCCTGGGGCCCGTCGCTTTTCAGGTCCCCACTTGTAGGATGGCAGAGCTTATTTATGAGAGCCAGTGTGTCCAAACATAATTACTGCTGGGCCGCATTGCTATTGGATGACAGGGGTAAAGAAACCATTCCCATGCAAGCTCTTGAGCATCTCAACAGCCTTCTGATTGATGACTATAGATTACATTTTCCTCTCCAGATGCATCTTGAGCATTTGAATTTGGTCTGAAACTGCCAGAGAGTTCCTAAATGTTAAGTCGATACCAATGTAGAGGAGAGTTTGCCTTTTGGTCAGCTCTTTAAAGTCAGTGAGAACAGCTCAACCACAAGCAGTCTGAATGTTTTGTCCTGACAGCTGGTTGATAGAGTCTAGTAGATGAAAAGAACAAGGTGGTCGATAACTCATAAACAGGTCTAAAGAGAGCTTTAGAGTTGAGTGGCCATAAAATGAACACATGTGGTCCATCGTTTGATCTGATTTTCATTGTTTTAATGCTTTAAATATTTTAATGGGTGGTCTTATTACACATATAACAGTAGGATAGTTCTCTCATTCACCCTCGTTTATTTAATCACATCTATTTTATTTTATCTTCATTCACAGGTAAATAAAACTTATAATACATTATACGGTTCTATATGATAACATTAGTAAATGGAATAGATCAAATTTAATAGGTTAGCATTTAATGTTATTTTTGTACCATTGTTGTTTTAGTATCATTGATTATTAACATTTTGAATTTGCTTAATGTTTCACTTTATCTTAATGTTTTATTTACAGTATATAGTATTCATTTTTATTCATTTATTAATTTTTTTCCAGTTTTTGTAATTTTTAATACATCAGGTTAAACTAAATAAAATGAGAAAGGTTGCCTTGGCAAATAGCTGAAATAGCTATTAAAATATATATATAATATATATTTTATTTTATGTTTACTTTATTGTTAATAAGAACTATAAGTAACCGAATTTTTAAAAATGTTTTTAGTTTTAGTTAACTATAATAACCCTGTTTTGTCTGTTCTGTTTAACATTTCAAGTTGTTTGTTATTACTTGGCTCTCTACAATATTCGATTCTGATTGGTCAGTTGTGGTATTTTCTAATATTCGCCATTGTTCATGGCAATGCTGTATATCAGTTCGCTTAAAGCATCTGCTGCCATCGACTGCAGTGAAAATGACCTCACTTCAGTATTAATATTACTGTAATATTGTTGCGGTGCTCATCTTATCGCTATAGGCCAGTTGCTTTGTATGTTGTACTAGACTACTTTTTCATGCTGGAAGCTTTAAGATAATATACAGGTAAAGTTATAAAATAACTCAAATGTTTCATATCCTAGATATATAAATACTGTAAAACAGGTGCTGTTCAGTTTCAGTTCATGCATTAACTAATATTAATGAATTGAACCTTATTGTAAAGTGTTATCTGAATTACTATTATTTGTTTTGTTTTATTGGTTTTACAATCATACATACATGAGTGCATGCAGTATGTTTCAATTAGGCAGCAGTCTTGTGGATTAGTCAGATGGCTCTGCTGTTTTCCCTGGTTTTGGAATAAGCTTTTCATCCTTGTGTAACTTCAAATTGGTTGGAGATTAGAAATATGCATATACTGTATGAAAAAACAAGATTCTGCTTATTTTTCTGCCCGTTACGGCACCGGGTTTCAAGTTGTCTAAACATGTTTCTACAGTGCTTTGTTCAAACCCGACTAGCTCTTTTGTGTTTTGTTATCCAGTGCTTGGCTTCTAAGAGAAGCCCTCTCATTCTCCATAAACTGTTGCCATTTCTCAGTTTGGTTCTCGTTGCAGCCTGCCGTTTGGAGTGCACACCGGCTGTGTCTGGGCAGGAGGAGTCAAGCAGAATGATGCAGAGGCTTTTTGGAGATTTATTCCAGAAACACCACTGTCAAGAGGGTCTCCCTGAATTCTGACACACACATGCTGGTCATCCATTTACAGACTAATGTCTCCTGGCTTTCTCATCCACTGGATTTGGAACCTTTGTGTTTAAAGCTGAAGTATGTAATGTCTGTGCCATTAGCAGTTCAGTTCAGCAGGTAAAAGCAAAAATAAAGGGCCTCATTCAGTAATAATTCAGTAAGATATGTGTATTTATGTGTGCCGGAAAAATTCACACATTCAAAATTTCTGCAGGAAAAACCTCAATTAGAACTTACCCTCATTCTAATGATTATTTTAAATTAGAAAACATCACTGCAGGTAATTTTTTTCATTATTATTTTATTTATCATACTCTGAAGTAATTAATACTCTTTTTACAGTCTCATTTTTAATGATACTTTTTTTTTTATATATAAAACTGGAATAACAAATTTCTTATTTTTTCACTGGAGTATGTGGTTTCAGCTGGTTTGATTCTAAATGTATCACACATTTAGAATAAATTTTAGTGCTAACATATTCATACAGTTTTTACATAAAAACGATTTTACACAGATTTGCATACATTTGCTCCTGATCAGGTGGATTCTACAAACAAAGCAATGTTTTAAAAACACCACAGATTTGCTTTGTACATTTTTTTGTGTAAAGGCAATCTGTGAATGGCCTTTTTAAGTCTCTAAATTAAGTTTGGATAGAAGAAAGTATTTTAGCATTAAAAAAATTACACACTTCACCTTTAAGTGGAAAGGTTTCTGTCCAGAGAGGACTGGATAATCTCGCTTTGAAATGTGAGGTTAAGGCTTCATCATTTTGGGTGAATGGCTTTATTCTTTGGAGACCCATGATTACACAGTTGGGCTTAAGTCAGGTGCAGTGATTTATAGTAACTGTGTGTACATATGTGCTACCATATAATCAGAAGAAAATAAGAGTATTTAATGCGCCCCGCCAAGTACCCATAATGCTCAGCAAGGACATGAGCTATGGGCAAGTAAAGGAGGTTTTGCTCATGTCAACAGATATTTACGAGCAAAAGGCAGTGCGACTGCTTGGCCCAGAGATGGCCTCATGTCAGGCAAAGGTCTGCTGCCGACTGCCGACAAGATGTAGGTCAGGCCGGTTCAAAATAGCTGCGAGGCCAGAGCCAGGGGAACGGCAGTGACCTCATAAATGGTAACTCTGTGTGGCAGCGTACCTCTTCTTGTTTTTCCTCTCTCTGATCCTCCTTTAACCTCTCACTGGGCTCGGACAACTCTGTCCAGGTCTTTTCGTCATGATCCCGGTCCCAGATATTTACGAGCAAAAGGCAGTGCGACTGCTTGGCCCAGAGATGACCTCATGTCAGGCAAAGGTCTGCTGCCGGCTGCCGACAAGATGTAGGTCAGGCCGGTTCAAAATAGCTGCGAGGCCAGAGCCAGGGGAACGGCAGTGACCTCATAAATGGTAACTCTGTGTGGCAGCGTACCTCTTCTTGTTTTTCCTCTCTCTGATCCTCCTTTAACCTCTCACTGGGCTCGGACAACTCTGTCCAGGTCTTTTCGTCATGATCCCGGTCCCTAATGGGATTCCTTTTGACACTCCTACAAAATATGATACTAGAACTGCAGAACTGTGTGTGTGTGTGTGTTGAGGGGAATCAGGGAATGTCTCCCATTTCTTGTGAATTCCCAAGGCAAGGCACCAATGGGATGCCTCGTCACATGTCGTGTTTGTAATGCCACACAGATTGAATTTTAGGCAAGTCAAAAGTTCAGCAAGACACTTTCAGTAAGCAGATGGCTTGAGTTAGCATCTTGTTAAGCTTGTAGATATTCTGTTTGTCGTAGGAGGGAATGTGTGAGCTGGATATTTTTGAGTAGTTGCAAAAGCAGAATAGTTCAGTAATGGACACACAGTGGTAAATTTATTAGGTATTGAGGAATTAGTAGAAAAATATTGTAAATTATTGATTGGTCGTTTAGCAATATCTACTTGAATTTGAATTTAGAATAAATTAGCAAGGGCACTTTGTACAGAATCTGGCCTGTTGCTTTCCATTTGCATCTGAAATGCAAACCTGTCTTGTGTTATGCAGGCAATCTTTGCAATCTACATAATGGGTAGTTAACTGAATCCTGAAGGTTTTTTTTTTATGGGACAGTCATTGAAGGACCATAAAAAAGAATAACATTTTCTATGAGCATCTTTTGCCGTAAGAAGATGCCTTCTTTTGAGATATGAGCTGGAATACTTGAGTCAGATGCCTTTAGTCACAAACTGGAAATTTGGATGCCAAGAGACATGTGCAGTCACCTAACCAGTGGCCTGGTGTATGACACTATTATGGGTAGTTCTGCTTAGTAGACTGAACCACGCAGCAGTCAAGTAGCATGTTATATTTCCTGCACAAATGAAACTAGGTTATATTAAGTGCTGCATTAAGTCAAAATTGAATGTAGAACCATCCATTTGCCTTTCATTGAACAGATACTGCCATCCAGTGGAAACAGGCTGAATTCGGGCTTTGATATTGTCTTGTAATTTACATTTTAATTCAGTGTGAGGAAAATATCTCTATGCTGTCCATTTATTTGTATGTGAAACAGACCCTTCATCCTAAAACGTATAGGATAATGAGCTCCACATTTCTCCCTTCCATCCAGTCTCACTCCTGCCTGCACAAGACTCCAGCGACTGGTGCTAAGTCGTTGGAATTGATGAAAATACCTCAGGTTTCACAGTCGCCATGATTTTGCCAAGTAAGACATGTTCCTGGTCAAGATCAACATCTTTTGTTGATCCTGGATCAACATTACTGTCCAAAAATACAGACTAAACCCAATCCCTACACCTAAACCTAACCCTACCCATAATTTATTCCTAAAATCAGAGGGAAATGATAGCTGATTAACAAGAGTGTAGAAGCACCTAACCCTGATCGTAAACCTAAAACAGATATTTCCTGAAAAGTTATCCCTCAATTCTGATTGGTTAATTGGAATGTTGTTCCAGGATCAACAAGGATGTTGATCCAGGAACATGTTGTACTTGGTGAAATCACGCTCACCCAGGTTTCACATAGATATTCTAGCATACTCACAATCTTCACTAATTTCAAATTTCTTAGAATGACTTCTGGATCATTTAAAAAAAAAATCTATATATAAATCATTAATTTTTCAGTTCAACTCAACTCTTAAATTATGTAAATTACCTTGCAAAACAGTAAAAAAGCATTTTTACTAGTGGTCGACTTTTCAGATCCGAGTGTACATATTGCTTATATGAAAGATTCTAGACATAAAACATAGATTTTTTTTTTTAAAGCAATATCGCTTTATTGTCTCGATGGCAAGACACGTTGGCGTTGTCACGAGGGGACAATGGATAGGTTTGTACCACTGGGTCAGATATGAAATCTAGCGATATTACTTTGTTTACGAGCACCGAAGTAATTGCATATTTGGGGGTGGAAATGCACAAACAAATTCTGCAATAATGTGGCCTTGCTAGGGTCATTAAGACGGCAGCATTGTTAGCTTTCGCTGTGAAATATAACTGTCTAGCGGAGCGCCTGGGGCGGGGAGGAAGCAGAGGATCTAGAGAAACACATTTCCCCTTTGCCTGCTGCTTTGAATGCTATTAATTTCATGCCTTGAATGAGTGAGCCGGGGCCCTTTTCTGGTGGACAAAAAATAAATCTAATATTCATGTTTTGATTGGCTTTTCTTCATCTTTGATATGGTTAAAATGTCATGATCTGCTTTTTCCTTCCTTTTTTTTTTTTTTGTCTGAATGTCACATTTGGATACTTGTACGAAGCGAACGTGATTGTTACAGAGAGTTTGTTTTCTTTGGTATGTAAATAGGGCTTTGAAATTATGCAGCGTTCATGTGTTTCCCATACTGTGATGTTATTGGGTATAATCTGTAGCAGATTGGGATTTCCTCGCTTGTTTTTTTGTGCTTACAAAGCTGCTAAACGGCCTCTTTTACAGTCGCGTTCTCAGCCATTAGCGAATGTCGGTGCGACAAAAGGAACCTCCAGAGATTTTGTTGACTCCAGTTCAGATGCTTTGTGCAGTGTGAGAGGTGAGCAGCAGGAGACTGTTTGAGCCAGAAGGCAGAGCTGGTGTCAGGTTTCTGCTGTCATTTCCAGCTGCCTGCAATAGCCTCATCAGTGACATCACTTCTCCATCGCTAGCGCACCAGCTCAATCACGCTCTCATCAGTATTCCACCCATAAGAGGATTTCTCCCTCTCCTTTCTTTTCACTCACGACAAAGATCCATCGCCCACTCGTGCCACCTAAACACTCAACCCCTTCGACTCGCCCCGATTTTACTACCGTTTGCCTTTGATGCCAGTAATTTGCTTGATACAGTTACACATTTGGGGAATATTGACAGAGGATGAGGGAGAGCACATGATAAAGGCTTGTTCTGAGGATGAATGGAGCGTTCCTCCACTGTGCCCCAACCACATTTTATTAGTCTTATCAGGGTCCCGCAGGCACACCTGATAACTCTGAAGGGCAGAGGGATCTTTTGGGGCTCACTAGCTGGACCTCTGTGGTTAATTGTGTCCAGTGGGGACCGATGTCCAATCTGTCTATGGCAATTTAAGTATTTACGGAGGCCGAGTCAGTGAGGCAATTTGGTTTCTCGCCACAGTTGTATTGGCCACGGTAGTCGGGTCATTGCGCATCAGTCCGGATTCGGAAGGAGGGAAGTGGTTTTGTGGTGATGGCTCAGTAATGCAGAATAAATAGAGGAGAGTGACCTTGATCATGGTGAATAAGAGCATGTTGACTGGTGGAGAAAGCAACAAATAAACATGCCGCGTAAACGCCTTGTGACAAAAGGGGTCACTCACCTAATTGATTTTGCTCTTGGAGGAGCAAATGTATGCAAGCTGTTTTTGTAGGGTCAATGCATTTTGGGAAATTTAAAATGATAAAACACTGCACTGTATGTGCACACTCACAGGAAAGGTATATGTGATGTGGGTTAAATATATCCCTGTTTGAAACTTGGAGCGGA